CTCACCCACTGATATTCCCATTTCTCACCCCAGATGTGACACCTGACTCCAGCTTCCTCCTGCATTTTGGGATCCCCCCTCACCTTCCCACCTTCCTCCTCTGACATTCCACCCCTCAGCTCCCTCCCTAGACCAGAAGCAGGATTTGGAGCAGGATTTTGGAGTAGGATTTTGAGCAGGATTTTGGAGCAGAGTTTGGAGCAGGACTGGTAGCAGGGTTTGGAGCAGGGTTTTGGAGAAGGGTTTTTTGGAGCAGGGTTTTTTGGAGCAGGATTTGGAGGAGGATTTTTTTGGAGCCTTTCTCTCAGAATTATCCTGACCTGGCTGGAAATCCCTTTGTGCAGTACAGTGGGGACAAAATCCTGGGACATCAGCTGGGGATGAGCTCCTGAATATTCCCAGCCCCAAAGCTGAGCCCTCAGCAATCCCAAAGACACATCCCAGTCCTGAAGTCCCAAATCCCTGCTCTGGCACCTCTGGGAAGGCTCAGGCTTTGGGATCAGGCCTTGAGCACAGGCTTTGGGATCAGGATGTGAGATCAAACTTTGGGATCAGCCTTTGGGCTCAGGTTTTGGGGTCACCCTTTGGCTCACCCTTTGGGCACCCCCACAGCTGCTTTCTCCCCCCTTGGAAGGGAAATTCCCATCCCTGTGGTTTTGGGAAGCAAACCCATCCTCCAAACCAGGAGAGTTGTGCCAGCCCCGTGTGACCCCCCTGCCCAGCCCCAGGGGATGTCCCTTCCCCATCCCCCAGCCCTTCCCACCCCACATCCCACTCCTGGATCTGTTGAAAATCCAGGTGGAAAAATCAAGGTACAATTTCTTTCCCTCCAGCCCCGCGGAGCCTTTGGAAGTTTTGTTTCCTTTTCCAGCCCTTGCCTCACTTCTCCAATCTTCCCTCATGGCTCTGTGGGGGAAAAAGTCATTAAATACACACCTACTTCTTGCTTTTATCACTGATCTGATTATCTTGTAATTCCCTCCCCAAGCAGCAAACGAGTGTGAACCGAGTTCTATCCAATTTCAAAGGATTTGTAAATAATCTGGGAGTAGTAAAAAAAGGAAAAAGAAAAAAAAAAAGAGAGGGGGTGGAAATCCTGTCTTTGTAATTTCTGCTTTTCCTTTATATTAAAATATAAGGGATTTTATTCCATGTAGCCATGCAAATCCACTTAGGGCTGCGTCCAGGATGATTCCAGGGAGGAAGGAGGGGTGGGAAGGAAGAGGGAGAGACTCGCTGCCCACCGGAGCCACTCCTGGAGCTGCCAGACTGAACGAGGCCCGGGAACATTTCCCTGCCCAAATTCCCTGCAGGGAAACAAATCACCTGTGGTTCACCCCCCACTTGCAGCCAAAGGACAAGAAGTGGAATTTAGTGATTTTTTTTGTTTTGTTTTGTTTTGGTTTTTTTGTGGTTGGGTTTTGCTGAAGGAATTTTTAAATTTAAAATGTGGAATGTTTGCGGGGGGATTTTCACAACAGGCCAGGCCCCACCATGGGGAAATCCAGGTGGATTCAGGAAGGCATTTCAGGACCTGGCCTTCACCCCACGCTCCTCAAGAACCCAAACCTCCACCGGGATCCCTTCCAGTTCCTCTCCGGGGCTCCCTTGGCCTGGGAAGGTTTCCAGGTGACTCGGCAGGTGAAGCAACACCGCAACTCAGAGGTGGCAGCGGGGGAGGAGGCAGCGGCACCCGGGGCGAGTCCTGACACGACTGGGATGGGATGGGATGGGATGGGATGGGATGGATGGTGGATGGTGGATGGATGGATGGATGACGGATGGAGGGATGGATGGATGGATGGATGGATGGATATTGGATGGATGGATGGATGATGGATGGATGGATGATGGATGGAGGGATGGATGGATGGATGGATGGATGGATATTGGATGGATGGATGGATATTGGATGGATGGATGGATGATGGATGGATGGATGACGGATGGAGGGATGGATGGATGGATGGATGGATGGATGGATGGATGGATGGATGGGGCAGCCGGGCAGGACGAGTTCCAACCCAGGAAGAGCCAGGCAGGGCAAGGTCCCGCCCAGAGGAGCCAGGGACGGCGAGTTCCAGCCCAGAAGGAGCCAAGCACATCCTCAGGGAAAGCCCAGGGACAGCCAGGGGACACCGTGGGGCTCTTTCCCCCCGACCCCCCACGGTGGTGGAGCTGCAGGCATCCCAGCCCGGAGGATTCCTGGGAGCTCCAGCCGCTGGTCCAGCTGGAGCAGATCCCTCCTGTCTGTGGTTTGCTATAGAAACACCGAGCTCGCTGAAAATGAATCATCACTGTTTTCCTGGCCCTTTTTCCCTGTAGAATCCTGCTAAACCCTCTCTGTGCTCACGTGAATTCGCTTTCTCCTTCCTCTCCTTCTCCTTGTCCTCCTCCTTCTGTTTCTACTTCTATTTCTCCCTCTCCCTCTTCTTCTCTTCCTTCTCCTCCTCCTCCCTCTCCCTCTCTCCTCTTCCTTCTTCTCCTCCTCCTTCTCTTCCTCCTCCTCCTTATCTTCCTCCTCCTCCTTATCTTCCTCCTCCTCCTTCTCTTTCTCCTCCTCCTTCTCCTCCTCCTCCTTGTTCTCTTCCTTCTCCTCCTTCTCCTCCTCCCCCCCCTTCTCCTTCCCTTCTCCTCCCCCTTCTTCTTTCTTCTCCTCCTCCTTCTCCTTCTTTCTTCTCCTGCACCTCCTTCTCTTCCTCCTCCTCCTTCTCTCTCTCCCTCTCCCTCCCCTTCTTCCCTCTCCTTCTTCTCCTTCCTCTTCCTCCCTTCACTTCAGAGCTCCCAAAATATCCGACTCCAGCCGCCTGCTCTGGCTGTGGGAGCCAGCAGAGACACCGAGGGAGCTGCCAGGAAACGGCGTCAAAAAAAGCCAGGGGGTGGATCTCGTCTGCCGAGCGGCAGCGCCATAAATCACAAAAATCCCATAAATCCCGTAAATCCCATAAATCCCAGCCCCGCTCTCCGTGCCGGCTCCACCCCCGCAGGTCCGTTCCCTCCTGTCAGACCCCGGGAGGGGAGGGCCAGGGTTGGGGTCACACCTCCCGCCCGGTCCGGGGTGCTGGCCCGGCTCCCACCGGGGGAATGGAGCAAATCCCAGTGCTGAGATCCTTGGGATGTACCAGAGGATGGAGATCCATGCGTGGGACACCATCCCAACCCCATGGGACACCGTGTCTCCTCCTCCTTCTCCTTCTCCTCCTCTCTTCCTCCTCCTTGTTCTCTTCCTTCTCCTCCATCTCCTCCTCTTCTTCCCCCTCTCTCTTCTCCGTCCCTTCTCTTCCTCCTTCTCCTTCTTTCTTCTCCTGCACCTCCTTCTCTTCCTCCTCCTCCTTCTCTCTCTCCCTCTCCCTCCCCTTCTTCCCTCTCCTTCTTCTCCTTCCTCTTCCTCCCTTCACTTCAGAGCTCCCAAAATATCCGACTCCAGCCGCCTGCTCTGGCTGTGGGAGCCAGCAGAGACACCGAGGGAGCTGCCAGGAAACGGCGTCAAAAAAAGCCAGGGGGTGGATCTCGTCTGCCGAGCGGCAGCGCCATAAATCACAAAAATCCCATAAATCCCGTAAATCCCATAAATCCCAGCCCCGCTCTCCGTGCCGGCTCCACCCCCGCAGGTCCGTTCCCTCCTGTCAGACCCCGGGAGGGGAGGGCCAGGGTTGGGGTCACACCTCCCGCCCGGTCCGGGGTGCTGGCCCGGCTCCCACCGGGGGAATGGAGCAAATCCCAGTGCTGAGATCCTTGGGATGTACCAGAGGATGGAGATCCATGCGTGGGACACCATCCCAACCCCATGGGACACCGTGGGACACGATGATCCCAACCCCACGGGACGCCATCCCAACCCCCAGGGAACACAATTATCCCGATCCAATGGAACACAATCCCAATCCTACAGAATGCCATCCCAATCCCATGGGCACCCAGCAGCCCAGTGTGAGACTGAACGGGGATCCTGTTCTGGAATGGGGGATCCTGGGCTGGAATGGGGGATCCTGGGCTGGAATGGGGGATCCTGGGCTGGAATGAGGGATCCTGGGCTGGAATGGGGGATCCTGGGCTGGAATGGGGGATCCTGGGCTGGAATGGGGGATCCTGTTCTGGCTCGGGCGATCCTCCCTCCCCGCACACCGGACCGGGCCGCAGCGCCGCCGCTCCGTGCCCGGGACAAGCCCAGATGTGGCCGGGACAAGCCCAGATGTGGCCGGGACAAGCCCAGATGTGCCTCCAGCTGCCCGGCGGATTTCTGAGCGCTGCGTCAGCGCCCCGACCCCGCGCGGGGCAGGCGGAAAACTCCGGGAAGGAAAACTCCGGGCAGGGAAACTCCGGGCAGGGAGCGGCTCCCAGGTGAGGGGAAGGAGGCGAACCCCCTCCCCAGGGGCCGGGGCGCAGGGACGGAAGGGACGTGGCAATGTCGCTGCCCCTCCAGCCCTGTTCCAGGCTGCCAGCGAGCAACGGGAACCACACGGAGCTGGAAAATCGGGAGCAGGACAGACCTCACCTGCGGCCACGCACAACCTCCCTGGGCTACAGAAACCGGGGCCCACCTGAATGGATTCAGCAGAGACGTTCGGGGCTTTCCTTTAGAGCGTCCCTGGCACTCCGGCGAGCCCAGGAGGGGTCAGGTCCCCCTGGCCCAGCAGTTCCAGCCCCCCGAGCGGGTTGCCGGGGGTCAGAGGCGCGGGGATCGTGTCCCTGCGGCGTGAGCCGGGCACAGCCCAGGCCGCGATTTTGGAGCCTCTGCTCAAAGCCCTCGCTCCGAATCCAGCAGAACAGGAACTTCAGCCCGGACCTTTCCCGGCCCTGCTGCCCCGGCTCCGTTCCCGCAGAGCTTCCCGAGGCGCCGGAGAGCCCGGCTCCACCGGCGGGCCCCTCTCCCTTCTCCCTCAGCATCCGAGAGAAAGCCCCGCTCCTGCCTCTGCCTCAGCCGGGGCCAGAGGAGGGGCCGGGGGCGCAGAGGAGGGGCCGGGGGCCGGGCACAAAGCCGGGGGCTGCGCCGGGGCGGGCCCGGTGCGCGGGCGCGGGGTCCAGGCTCCTCCTCCGCTGCCGCGCCGGGGATGCTGCGGCCGGGCCGGCTCCGGGAGCCCCGCGGAGCCCCGCGCCGCGCCGAGGAGCCAGCGGCCACCCGAGGTGGGCACGGGGGGACGCCGGGGGGCCGTGCCCGGGGGGCTCCGGGAAGGGGCACGGAGGGGACGCGCGGGGGAAGCGCCGGCGGCACCGGGGGACGCTGCCCAGGGTGCTGCGGGGACATTGACGGGACAGCGAGGGGACCCGGAGGGGCCGAGGTGCGCGGTCGGGGCTTCCCACAGTGCGGTGGCTTTGGGGTGACCCCCCCCGGTGGGCACTGCGGCCCCGGGGGTGCCCCGCGCCGGCCCGGCTCCGTGGGGACGGGGCTCGGGGACAGGGCTCGGGGCTCGGGGACAGGGCTCGGGCTCGGTGACAAAGAGTCGGGATCGCCCCGGGAGAGCGGCTGGGCTCGCCCCCGTTGCCGGCTCCCATCCCTTTGGCCGCTCGGAGCCGCCCGCGGCTCCCCCGGGGCTCAGCTCTGGCTTTTCGCTTCCCTCTGAAGTCTGGAAAACTTCTTTTCACACGGCAGCGAGAAAATTCTGCCTGTTCAGCACCTCGGTGCGGGCTGCCTCGGGTTACAGAGCCCCGCACTGCCGGGAAGGAGGGGAAGGAAGGGAAGGAGCGGATGCCTTTGGTTTGTTGTCATCAGCTCGGAGCCATCCCGGCAAGGGGCTGCCTGCTCCTGCAGGAATTCTTCGCCGCTGGAGCTGCGCGGGCAGGGCCGGGTGCGTGGGAGGGGAGGAAGGAGCGCGGGGGCCGCGGGCAGCGGAGACCCCTGCGGGAAATGCCAACCGCACCTGGATGGATGCGGCAGCCCCGTCCCGCCGCCTCTGCCAGGGGCCCGGCCTTTCCCGGGGCTGCCCCCGCTCCGGGCCGGGCTCTGCAGCCGGGGAAGGCGTGGGAGGGAGGTCAGAGCTGCCCCGAGGCCGCGCAGCTCCCGCGGGTGCCAGCGCAGCTCCTGGAAAGCCGGGGATTAATCTCGCTTGGAAAAGCGGCGCTGGAGCGCTGCCACGGCCGGAGTCAGCGCGGGGCTGTCACCGCTCACCCGGTGACACGCAGTGCTCGGGGACGGATCCGCACGGGGACAGGTCCTGGCAGGTCCTGGCAGGCGACATTCCCGTCGCTGCTGAGCCACCTGAGCCGTGTTTGCTCTGTGACATCTCCGGAGGGCCCTGGGTTCTCCCTCCTGCTCCAGGGGTCTCTCCCACAGGACAGGACCCCCTGGTGTGGCAGGAGGGTCCCACACCCACGAGAGGGCCCGGGGGTCGTGTGGGACCCCCAGTGCTGATCTCCTCCCCCACAAGGGATGTGTCCCCATCCCTCGGTCCCGGCTGCAGGGGTGGCACAGTTGCATCCCTGTCTCCCGGGGAGCTGGGCTTGGGGTCCTGCTGTCCCCTTCTGCCACCACCCCCCCTCCCCCCGCCCCGTGTCTGCCCTGTCCAGCCGTGCCCAGCCCTGGGCACGCCCTTGGCCCGAGGGGTTTCTGTGTGTGTCCCGTGCTCCCGTGACCTTCTCCTCCCCCGTGGGCCTCGGGCAGCCAGGAGGGAGCAGCGCCGGCCCCATTTTTTGGGAGCAGGCCCGTGCGTTTCCCCCATGGCTGCCCAAACCCTCCCCAGAGCTCCTCTTCCTCACCCGAGGCTGCGGCGAGCGGAAAAGCAGGGAAAAAAACTCCCCCACCCTCAACCAGAGACTGATTTACCTTCCCTGGGAAGCTCTGCCAGGGATTCCTGGGCAGCCCAGCCTCCCACGCCAGTCCCGGCCCAGTGTCACACTCTGTCCCCTGCGTGTGTCCAGCTCAGCTCTGTGCACCCAGCCAGGCATTTCCAGTGTCACACTCTGTCCCTTCCGTGTGTCCAGCTCACCCCCGCGCCCCCCAGCCAGGTTTTCCCGGGGCTGCGAAGCCGCTCCGCCCGGGTCATTAATTACCAGGGCTATTAATGAGCGGCACAAAGAGCTGAAAGTGCGAAATCCTCGTAATCGGCGTTGGGGGGCAATTAATGGCAGCTGCAAAAGCGCACTCAGCCGCACAATCGCGGCTCCGGGGATGCTCCCCGGCCCCCGGAGCCCCCGGCTGTGCCCGGGTGAGCCCTGCCCGGCACGGCGGGGCCGCTGAACGGGGCCGGAGCCGCTCCGTCCCTCCCACCCGTTAGTCACCGCTCCTGGCAGGCAGCGCTGCCGAGGGGGGGAGGCGAAGGCAGGCGAGGCTCAGGCAGCAAAATGAGAGCTCCAGAGCAGCCCAGCGCCCCTGCAGAGCCCCAGCAGAGCCCCCCGGCCGTGGGGGCTGCCAGGGCAGCGCCCCCGTGCCCAGGTGTGCAGGGCAGGAGGGGCAGCGGGAGATGCTCCGCTGTGGAGGGGACAGGGATCTGTGCCAGGGAGCTGCCGCTCCTCCTGCACCCCTCGCTCCATCCTCGGCCCCAAATCCCTCTTTTCCCTCTCTCGGAAAGGCTCTGTCTGCAGCGGGCAGGTCCAGTCATGCTCAGGTGAGGCTCAGGTGAGGCATCCGCGGCACGCAGAGATGGGCAGCACAGAGCAGCAGGGCCCGGCCGGGGCAGGAATCTGATCCTTGGGACCATCCCAGAAATCCCTGAGAGCCAGAGCCGAGCTCCAGGGGCCCTTCCCGGGACACCGAGTCACCCAGGGCCACCGGCAGAGCTCGGTGCCCGCGCTGCGTGGCCAAGTGTGAAACCGTAGTAGCACTGCAGCTATTCCGGGAGCTGCTGCAAAACCTGCTGCTAAAACTGCTGCTGAAACTGCTCCTGGAGCAGCCCAGCCTGGCAGGGACACGGCTGTGGCCCCGCATGGCTCCGTGGCAGAGCCGTGGGACCTCCGTCCTCTCCATCAGGGAAAGCTCAGCTCTGACAGGAAATTTGGAGGGGTTTTTTTCCTGCCCCCTGAGCACTGCCTGGCGTGTTTATAAATACCCTCTCTCCTGGGAGGCCCCAAATCCACCCCCTGCCTGATTTATTCGGTGTTCCTCGCTCACCAGCTGCCCGTGGGGGGATTTTTCCAGGAGCTGCAGGGAAGGAGCAAGGCCGGGAGCAGGAGCCCCAGGCAGGGTTTCCATTTGGGATTAGTTAAAAATAGCAGGGAATGCACAAAGATTCCGCACGTGGCTCACCGAGGCCTTCCCTGCTGCCGGGGTTTTGTGCTGCTCCCCTGGCTGGGAGAAGCCCCTGTGAGCAGGAAGGGCCAAGGAATTCCTGGGTTTTTGTGGGAAGCCCTGAGTGCTCCCAGGCACTTCCCTGGGTTTGAGGAGCCAAATCCTGCCCAGGCAGCGCTGGGGTTCCTGCAGCAGCACCCCTGCCACATTCCCAGTCAGACCTTCCTCCTCTTCCTCTTCCTCACAGCCAGGACTTCTCCCCCTGGGCTGAAATATTCCCATTTATCCCCTCGTGGCAGCAGCAGTGGAGGCAGCTCCTGCCTGAAGGGAGTTTTTATCATTTCTGGGAGAGCCTCGTCCCTGATCTCTGGCTTTGGGAGGTGGGAGGATCCTCCGAGGCCTGGGAGAGGGAGAGGATGCAGCTGGGAGATCCTGGGAAAGGAAAACCTCCCAAAAATCCCTGCTGCCATCCCAGGGTGTCCCCTCCGAGCTCTCCCAGCTCTCCTGGGTGCAGGGCTGTGGATTTGGGCCCTTGCCCAAGCCAAGATCAGAGGTTCCAGCTCAGGATCCAGGAACATTTGGATCTTTAAATGCCCCTTTTTCCATCTCCTCCTGCTCCTCCCAATTTTCGGAACAATCCAGTGACATCTCCGTGAGCCACTTAGGGAAGAGCTCCTTTAAAGGTTAATTAAATATTCCCCGCAACTTTGATGCACATTTCCCTGTTGGGAGAGCTGCTCTATTTGGCAGCCAGGCATTAAAGGGGTGGATTTCACCACGGGCCAAGTCTGGGAAAGAGAGGAAGAGGAAAATAGGAAGCAAGAACTGAATTTGCCTTTTTTTCCCCCCCCTTCTGCTGCTGCATTGGAGCATTGGGAAGGGATGTGACACTCTGGGAAGCAGGAGAGGAGCTGGGGATGAGGAGACAGCGGCAGCAGATGCTCCTCACAGCGAGGACAGAGCTTGGCTCCTCACCAACGAGCAGGAGTTGCCTTTGCTCAGCTCTGAGCGCCAGGCAGGGACAAAAATCCCCAAATTGAGACAAGCTGGGTGTAACTGGTACCACAGACAGGGAAGGGCAGCGCAGGAGGAATCACAGCAAAGCCCAGCCTGGAGCTGGCGCTGGGTTTGGTTTGAGGAGGATCTTTAGGCCCTGCCTGGCCGAGGTTTCTCTCTGGCTCTCTCAGTTTCCTCAGAGATTTGGGGCTTTCAGCTGCTGCCAGGGCCACGGACTCCCCCTCCTGTTCCTCAGGCAGTGTCCAGCCCTTGGCTGGAGGAAAAAGCCCCAAACCAGCCCAATTCCAGCCCTTGTCCCCCTTCCTGGCTGTCCCCAGGGCACAGCGCGGAGTGGACAGCAGAGGGTGGCCCCGTGCCCCTCACGGTGCCCACCTGAGCCCAGCAAGCCCAAATTTGCTTTATGGTGCCCAAAGTGGCCCTGAGAGGGGGTGAAGGAGCAGAGAGGGCGGTGGGCTGGCTGCTGTGGCCACCAGGAGCAGGGGGGCAGTACCGGGGGGCAATGCCAGCTAGGCAATGCCAGCCCCGCTGCTCCTGGCTGCTTTTCAGCCGCTCGGGAGAGGGGGAGAGACAATAAAAGGCGCGGGGATTGCAAACACAGCCCGGTCTCCATGGCAGCCTGAGCACCGCTGCTAAATTTTGCCTGTACATGGAGAGGATGCTGCTCCCCTCCTGTGCCCGGGGGAGTTGTGCAGCACAAAGAGCCTCGGCCCAGGTATTTCCCGCAGCTTTTGGGCAGCTGGGTGCCTCGTGGAAGGAGCCCTCGAAGGGGTTTGCTGTCCCTCATCCCGGTTTCATCCATAATTCAGGGCCGAAGCCACGTGAGCAGCCCGTGGAAGCGGCAAGCTGGGAGGAGAAGTATTTCGGGCTCATGCCGAGTTACAGCGAGTTCCTGCTATTTTTAGCCGGACAGACAAAGCTTTCCCACCAGGCAGAGCCCGGGGCCAGC